CTTGGTAACTGCAATGAACGCGGTTGAAGAAGCTTGAAATTTCTGGGGAATGTTGATGAAGGTCTATGAGTTTCTGGAAAACTCGCATGAATTTTCCGACGACATATGTTTTTTCCGGTGACTTGGGGATGGATGTGGACGGAGGAAGAAGGAGGGAGAAAGAGGATTTCTGGTAAATTCTGAGTTTTTTGCAGTTTCCGGCAAGGACGGTGGCCGGAGACGGTTAGACGGTGGCCGTTGGGGAGGTTCAAGGTGGATGCATGGCCGGCGGTAGGGTTCTGGTGAGGCTCCGGCGAAGGGCTGTGGTGGTGACACGCGTGAGTGGGAGAGACTGGGGGAAGACACGTGGCTGGACGTGTGGCAGAAGAGAGAGAGTGATGGTGGGGTCAGGTGTCAGCGTGTGGGGGTTGCTGAGTGGTGTGTTCGTGGGTCCTCCTCGGGTACACGCGTGGCGTGCCTTATATATTGACAAGTGTCCTCTCTGGACAAAAATAATGAAAAAACTGAATTGGACTGAAAACGGGAATGGGCCTCCCACCTGTGTACTCTGGCCCACGAGATTGACACTAGCTGGACCAAAAAGTTGATTAAACAAACCATTAAACCTAATTAAAACTAATCAAATACTAAACCTACTTAATCCTAAAAACCATTAACTAAATGAAAATCCTAATTAAAATCTGAACAGAATATTAAATCCTAATTAATCCTAATTACAATTAACTATCCTAACAAATTCAATTAAATCTAAACAAAAGATTAAATCCTAATTAACCTAAAAATGATTAAGATCTAATTAAACCTATATTAATAAAACTTCTACTAATTTCTATAAAATTCCTATTAAAATTTAAAAATCTATTAAAATCCTATTATTAATAAAAGAAAAAACTATATTTTCCTATATTATCTAAAAACAATTAAAAACAACTTTAAAATCTATTATATTCTAAGAAAATGATTTAAAAATACTATTAAACCAATCAAAGCCTATTTAAATTCTGAAAAAAATCTATAAAACTCTAGAAAAAGATTTAAACTATTTAAAAGAGTTTAAAAATCCATTTAAATCCTAAAAATGATTAAAAGCCTATTTAAACTTTACAGAAAGCTATTAAACCCTAAAAAATGCAGACAAAGGCCAATAACCAACATAAAAGGGCGTGCGACCAGATCAAATCAACCAGTAAACCCCTGGCATCAGAATATTCCCCAATCACCGTGCAGACTGAAAATCCTGAGAAGCGCACAATCTCCCGAAAATACAACCCTGATGATCTGAACTGGATCTGAAATATCTGATAGATGAAACCCAAACTGTAACTCCGATATCTTCTGTCTGTACACACACATCATGCATCTGATGCGAACATGAATTTAAACCACGAGCCAGCTAGGAGAATCGGTTGGTCAAATTTTGGGGTGCAACACTATTAACAGAGGAACTTCGTCCTTACACCCACATTTCAATATATAGAATTAAAAGTGGAAAATCTAAATATTGAATCATTTAAACATGTAATCATATAATTTACATATCACCAAGTTTGATTCAAAATATCGTCATGTTACAAAACATCTGTCAACAGATACATATACACAATGTATCCCAAAAGTATACTATACAAGCCTAACTACCCGGTGCTACATATCAGAGCGAACCGACCAAAAGAATGAAGCTATACTTCACAAAAAGGATCTCCAGCCATCCTAATCTGCAATGCCTCACGGAGTATTATAAAACAGCAGAAGAGTGAGAAATATTACCGTAATAATCAATGCATATATATATATATATATATATATATATATATATATATATATATATATATATATATATATATATATATATATATATATATATATATATATATATATATATATATATATATTCGTAAACATAATAATACATATATTTCACATTCTCACCACTCCTCATCACAATCATCATATGCATCAAAATATGTGCATAAACCAATAATGGATAATCGCCAAACATGTTTCATCATGCACACATCCAAAATCACTCGACTCAATCATTCATACACAACCGTTCTCTCCTATCACGAATCACTTCCACACTATGTGGTTTATACAACTCGTCACTCTCATAATTATCTATTCGAGACTATGGTACATCGCTCGTACCCCACCAGGAACAACCTCCCGGTTATTCTACCCCGGTGTTTACGTTACTAGGAACGACACATAGTCATTCTACCCCAGTAACTACTCCACTAGGAACGAAATCGAATCATTCTACCCCAGTGTTTACGTTACTAGGAACGACACATAGTCATTCTACCCCAGTAACTACTCCACTAGGAACGATATTGAATCATTCTACCCCAGTGAGTTTCACATTCATACCTCATTAGGAACAACATCAAGTCATTCTACCCCAATGAGTCTCACACTAGGAACGACATCATTAGCCATTCTACCCCAGTGCGCACCAACACTTGTACTGCATTAGGAACAACATCAAGTCATTCTACCCTAATGCATCCAAGCACTCATATCTCATTAGGAACGACACATAGTCATTCTACCCCAATGAGCTTCTCACTAGGAACGATATCACATCATTCTACCCCAGTGAGTTCCACACTAGGAATGACATCATTAGCCATTCTACCCTAGTGCACCAACACTTGTACTGCATTAGGAACAACATCAAGTCATTCTACCCCAATGCATCCAAGCACTCATATCTCATTAGGAACGACACATAGTCATTCTACCCCAATGAGCTTCTCACTAGGAATGATATCACATCATTCTACCCCAGTGAGTTCCACACTAGGAATGACATCATTAGCCATTCTACCCTAGTGCACCAACACTTGTACTGCATTAGGAACAACATCAAGTCATTCTACCCCAATGCATCCAAGCACTCATATCTCATTAGGAACGACACATAGTCATTCTACCCCAATGAGCTTCTCACTAGGAATGATATCTCATCATTCTACCCTAATGCGTACCTCACCGACCTCACATCTATCACATAATGCACACATATTCGCAATATGTTCCCATGCATTCACAATATCGCGCCAATGGCGACGAATTCAATCATATTCCTCATGCATTTAATTAATTCAAATAATGCAACATAATTGCCAAACGGCCACAATTCATAATTCATCTCACCATCTAGGATTCACGCCATACGGCTACCCACAACACATCACAAACAACATGACTATTCAATTCCAACAAGGATTGAAAACAACCGAACCACACAATCAACATTGGATAGAACCACCAGAAAAACAAAATGCTGTCACGTTCGCTACTGGCTCGCCTAGCGAGTACCTAGCGAACATTCGCTACCTATTCGCCTAGCGAACAAGCTAGCGAAGACAAACAGAAGCCACTGGAAGGCTTCGCTACCAGTTCGCCACAGTGAGGCCCTAGCGAGCAACTCACTACCTCGCTCGCTACCAGCAAGGAGATCCAAATCCATTATGTCCCAAGTCTGGGACCGTTCGCCACAGGCTCGCTAGGCGAGGACCTAGCGAACGTTCGCGACTTGCTCGCCTAGCGAACAAGCTAGCGAGTGTTTGCGAACACCAAACTCCAAACTGTCCAGTATTCATCTGGAGCTCCCGATTCACTCGATTCCAACCAAACTCGTTCCAGTAGACTTAGCCTAATATATCTCGACTAATCTACATCATCCCTTCCAGATTCTAACCGATAAACTCAGTTTCTACCGATTAAACTTATTTCGACCTAAAATGGAAAAATGGAGAAAACATCCAAACAACTCATACAATCCATACACAATCATATACATTAACAAGATGATGATATTTCACACCCTTACCTTGATGAAATCGATAGCCAAGAGTTGTTCTTGATGAATCCAAGCTTTTCCTCTTTTCTTCTCTTTTTCCCCTCTTCCACTTTCTTTCTCTTCTTTCCTCTTATGTTTTCTATCCTCCTTCTCTTCTTTCCACTTCCTCATATATATATCTTTCTCTTTATTTCTTTCCAATATATTTCCTCTCTCAAAACATCTATCAATCCATTTAAACAACCATCTAATTATTCAAATAATTAGAATAATCCAAATAAATCAATTAATTAACACAAATAATTAATTATTGAAAATTGGGTCGTTACAGTCGCCGCACTCCATGTAAGCGCTTCCTTAAGAACGCTTATTCCCCATTGAAACTTTGACCATAGTCAAGAAGTTTCTAACCTCCATTTCGAAGGGAACTACGATTACTGTGATTTCATCCCCTACCCAGGATACGTAGGCACAAGATGCGAGTATTGACGAGTAAACTTAGGACTAACCCTTAGGTCTTTCTTTTCACCTTCTAACCCTTAGCATATCCCTTAAGCAAATAATTTAGCAAAATAGCAAACATTAAAACAAGAGGTTCTTGTAGAGTACTACAGAAGTTTAGGATGCTAATATATTCCCTAAGCTTAACCAACTTCCGAACCTTAGATCTCTCCCCACATTGTGTTTACGATGCAAAATAGGTTTTTCCTTTCTTTAACATTTCATTCGGATAAATAAAAGACCGATTGTGAATCTAAGAGTGTGATTCAAATTAATTAATAATTTGATATCTTATTTTCACCGAAAATTTTATATTAATTTTTCATAATTGAATCTACCACATTTTGCCTTTAACCCGCATGCAACAATGTTCTATGAGTAAAAAGAAAAAATTATGTATATACACTAAATTTATATATTAATATCTAAATTCAAAATTCTACCTCTCAAATTTTATCTCAATTTCTAAATAAAAATGAGAAGAGTGTCTTTGTTTGAAAGCACCTTTTTTTCTTAATGATATCGAAAGCACCCTTTGGTTGGTTGTATCGAAAACCAATAGAATAAAATAAGTAAGAAAGAAGAAAAACGAAGGAAAATGTACCAACACACCATTCACCACTCCTTTGAAAGCGAGAACGTGTTCCTTTTGGTTTGACTCCCACTTATAAGAACAAAACACATACAAAACATGGCCTACACTTACACCCACTCCACCTTGCGTCTCAACGCTCCGCGAACCCCATCGGTATCCCGTTCAAACACTAACTCACATCCATCTTCCACTCGATTCTCCTTTAAACCCCTCAGATTCAAAGGGCTCAGCGCCAAATCCAGCAAGAGATTTATTTGCGAGGCTGTGAAATCTTCAATGGCGGTTCAAGTTGAGGTATTCGAGAAAGAGGCACTGGCTGTTTCTCTGGCTAAATACGTCGCTGATCTCTCCAATAAGTTTACTCGACAAAGAGGGGCTTTCACTGTTTGCTTGTCTGGTGGCTCTTTGATCAATTATCTTCAGTGGGTATCTTCTTTCACTTTTTTGTATCAGTTGTTGCTGTTCTTGATTATTGATGATGATTAATTGAATTGAATAAGATTAATGTGTCTATTGTGATTTAAGGAAATTGTTGGAGGCTCCGTATGTTGATTCTATTGAATGGGCTAAATGGCATGTGTTTTGGGTGGATGAGAGAGTTGTACCCAAGGATCATGAAGATAGTAACTATAAGCTTGCTTTTGATGGTTTTCTCTCCAAGGTATCTTCTTTTTTTTTCATGATTTTTAGGTCTTGTGTCATAAACTTTATACTAAAAATCTATGAAGATTAAAGTATAAGACAAACATTAGTAGTGATTTGAGAACCTAGAACTGATAGAATGTAACCACATAGATCGGTATTCTGTTGTCGTAACACCAATACGTGGTAGACGTTGAAAAAGAATCTGTATGTGAGGATGAGGATCCATTACAGACTTTGGCAAGTATACCAAGTCATAAGAGTGTTGAAAGGGATGGATGAGTAGTGTTCTCAATAGAATGAAGCTACTGATCACTATTTTCCTAATTTAAGACAAGGTGGATGATACTAGATGTGGAATGTGGTTTGAAGCATGGTTCACTGCAGCGCAGTGATGTGCTGAAATCTCTTGAGGAGGTGGTGTTGAGTGTTATGGTGAACAAACATGTAGGATCAGCGTCCTTCAAGGACCCATTTGATACAGTTGGCAGGGAAAATTTTATGACCCTGTTTACCAGCCACCACCCTCACTTGAAGAGAAGAGGTGATGGATGAGGCCGGAAAGTGCAGAGGTGCAGCGGACACGGTTGGGGGGTAGCAGGAGAAGAAGCTGCATGCGTTTTGGAGAAGATGAAGTTTGAGTTTAGGGTTTAGAAAAAGGGTCTCAATTTTAGGACTTGTTTCACATGATTGGCTTCTCACAATCTGTGCTACGATGTCACGATTTTTCTATACCCAAACAATCTTAGGTGGGTTCTGGAGTTTGACAACCATGAATTGAAGGAGCTTTTTTAGAATTAAATCTAAAAGAAAATTAAACTGCACCGAGCCACTGACAATAAAAACAGAACAAGATGCAATAGAATAGTAGTTTGAGTTTTTTTTAATGATTTCACAAAAAAATTGTTAGGACTGCATCCAGACCTTGCTATATACCCTAGATAAATTATGATCTAATTTCTAGCTTCAGATTTGAAGGTTGAATCTTCTAAATCTTTCTATTGCTGAATGGATACTTTCTGACAGAGTTTCATTCATTGTTAACTTCTACTAAGCTTATTTCATGCTTTTCCTCACCAAAGGATAAGAGTTGTGGTTTGCAAAGGTATCAACCAGTTTGAGATAGTTTCACCAGCCATTGACACTTCTTTTAATCCCAACTTATTTTGGTTCAACAAAGTGGAGTGGAGGGGAGAGATTTTAAAAAACTGTTTTTGGTTCGATGAGGGGAGGGGAAGGATTGTATGAAATTACATTTTTTACCCTTTCAATATTTAAGATCACATTAATTATAAGGCTATGTTAGTCTAAATACATACAATTATTCCCTCCCATCCAAGTTCTCCATTTTGGAGGGGATTTTAATCTCCTACCTTAAAGTCCCCTCCCTCTCCTCTCCATAAAAATTGAGCAAAACTACTAAAACTTAAAGTATTCCCTCTCCTCCTCTTCCATTCTCTCCAGCCAAACAGCCCACCAATTCCTTGGTTAATTGATCTTCTTTTAACCAAATGAACTCACCAATTCTTTAGTTCTTTTTGATGAGAAAGATGAATGATCAAACAATAGGACTTCAGCAAAACCAATTCAAATTACTAAATATATTTTTAGATATCGTATCGTCAATAGAAGTGAAACTCTTAGATTTGGATTATCATCAATTTTTCCAACTCTACTATAAATCCATAATCAATTCTTGGCTAGCTACACTAAAGAAGCATTAAGCAAGAAGAACACTTCTCATATCTTAAGAGAATGGGATATAGATTGAAAGGTGAAGCATTCATTACATAATCCAAAGTGAACTACAACACTCTAACAAGAGATTTAATTGGAATTGAAAATCATGGCAAAGAGATGAAAATAGAAGAAGATGAAGTGAGGAAGTCCATTGATGATGCGTCGTAGGTTGAACCTTCAAGCTTCCTCAATCAAACTCAGAAGGTGTACTTCAGTAGTTGGGATCCTCTCCACTTTGAGGATGGACAAGATCCTAAACTGTACTTCAAGTGCCCTGTATATGCCAAGTGTACTTTCAGCTCCTTTCCTTCTTCTATTTAAAGCCACTAGTACAATTGGTGAGATTTTACTGGTGGTGCTCATGCACGGGGCACTGCAAAGCAAATATCATTTTTTTGCGGCCAGTGGTAAAGCATTTGCTTCCCAATACTTAAGGCTTAAGCACCCGTGTTATTTATGTATAATCTTTAAAGTCGCTGCATGCATGCCCAGAGTATTCTTTCTCCCTGAAATAGTCTTCTAATAAAATAATTTTGTTTTTCTAACTTGTTGGTACTCTCATCACAATTCTCTTGGTAGGTGCCCATTCCAGCAGGCAATGTTTATGCGATCAATGATGCCCTTTCAGCTGAAGGAGCAGCTGATGATTACGAGACATGTGTCAAACACTTGGTCAATAGCAATGTGATAACATCATCAACCAGTGGATTTCCAAAATTTGATCTCATGTTGCTTGGCATGGGCCCTGATGGGCACGTTGCTTCTTTGTTCCCAGGGCACCCTCTTGTGCAGGAGAATAAGAAATGGGTTACCTCCATTACCGACTCCCCAAAACCACCACCAGAGAGAATAACATTTACCTTTCCCGTGATCAACGCCTCTGCGTACATCGCACTTGTGGTGACTGGTACTGGGAAAGCAGATGCGGTTCGCTCTGTGCTGAGTGGATCTGAAACAGCTGATAAGCTTCCTGCTGCATTGGTTTCACCTGAAGGGGAGTTGAAATGGTTCTTAGACAAAGGTGCAGCATCAAAGCTGTAGATCCCAAAGCTAAGCCAGTTAATCTACGTGTTGTGTGTTGTGTTAGTATATTTATTTTTGCAATAAGGAGTTTGTGTAATAGATCACACATAACTAGTACTGAATCTCCCATATCTCAGTGATAGTTAACACTGTAGAGTGAAGAGAGGCCTTTGTAGTTTGTAGCAATAAGAGGATGACAAAGTGAAGAAAGAGTGCAATGTGAAGTTCTTGTTTAGGTTCAAAATTTTCCCGTTGATGTGAAGTAACATACCCTCCCCTCATCTTCCATTTTCAATTGAAATGCTTCATGCGAAAGGATGAGTAGTGTTCGTTACTCAGCAGATCGTACAATGTTTGCTGCAATTTAAATGTATTATTACAAACTAAAAATAAAATATGCTATCATACAATGTCAAAATTTCTAAAATATCATGTTAAATATTAAAATAAAATATCATGTTAAATATTAAAATAAATTAGTTTATTTAGATTTATGACAAATAATGGTCCCGGTTCAATTTGATAGTTGTGTAAGGACATCAGATGCATTGGCAGATGTTCAAACTTGGGACATTCAAACTTGCGATATTACATCTCACTTATTCACCTAGGTAAATTTTAGACGCTAAGTTATTTAACAAAAAAAAAAAGTAAATTTTATCTTTACATTTATTGAATAATTAATATATTTAAATAATATATTTGATTTTTATGTAGATTAGATATATCTGATAAAAGATGAAATTTGCTTATAATAAAAAATGGAAAGAATATGAAATTAATTTTTAAGTTAGATTACAACTCACGAAATCAATTCTTCTATTTTGTTTTCAAATAGTTTTGATCTTTCATCCTTAATTTTCGTCCAAAAAAACTGAAGTGTCATTATATTTTATAGGTGGTATAATTTTGATGACCAGACAGAGTCAGATGAATATTTTATTTGTTAATGGAATTTTTTATTGCTTAACTAAAATAAATGTAATAAAATAAAATACAAAATAAATTTTAAATAATTTTTTAGCTGGAGATTAGTGAAGTGAAATCCATTATTTTAAGATGAGACGAAACAAAGAAGATCTCAATGAAGCTCAAAAGATGAACTCGACATAGAAACACCATTTCAGAAGACGAAGCTGTGAAATCGTTGCAACGAATCGTTTCAAGGTATCTTTTCAAGATAATATATCAAATCAATTCTTTTTCTAAGACCGAAGAACATCCCAAATCAAAACCCTAACTTTAATTTCAATCAAGCAACAGTGGAATGTCATACTCTTACAATACACCCTTATTTTGAACGAAAAAGGATCCCAAATTTTGTTCAAGGTTTGTTGATTTTTGACTCTAAACAGAATAATTGTTTAGTATTTTATGTTCTTAACATATTTTTTGTCGTGATATGATGTTGTTGTTTATTGTTGTTGTATGTTCTGAACTGATTTTGTATCGTGGTATGTTGTTGTTGTTGTTGTTTGTAGTTCTATTGTTCTAAACTTATTTTCTATTCCGGTTTGTTGTTTATTTGTTGTTTGTAGTTGTGTTGTTATGAACTGGTTTTTTATCATGGTTTATTATTGTTGTTTGTTGTTGTATGTTCTGGAATGATTTTTTATTGTTGTTGTATGTTCTGAATTAATTTCGACTCTGAACTAAATAATATTCTAAATCGGATAATGATTATGATGTCTTGGATTTTTATTTTGGTGTTGTGTAGGCCGACTAAGATAAATGCAGTTAAATTTAGAATTAATGATGGGGGAACTTTACTTCACCGTCCTTGCAAGCTATATGTAGATGGAAAGGTATATAAAATGAATTGGAAATGGGATGTGAGTTTTATGTCATACATAGAGATTTTCAAAATAATTAACTCATTGGATTATGTAAGAATCAAATGTATTTGGTATCATGATTTAAAGTTTTTATTTGAATGTGGGCTTAGATCTTTTAATAATGATAAAGGTTTTGAAATTCGGGAAAGACATAAAATGTTATGGTTGTGCTGACATCTATGTTAAACATATAGTAGATGAACCTATTGTTATGACAGAAGATGAAGTAAGGAAAAATGTTGAAGCTGAACAAAAAACAATAAATATTGACTCTGATGATGAAATTCAGGTTGAGGAAAGGGGTGAAGACCATGTTTGGATAAGGATGATGTACATGTTAGGGAAGAAGTCTAGATTGAGAAGAGGGAATAAGTTAATACTAAAGAGAGGAAATAAGTCCAGCTCGGACAAATTATATATATATATATATATATATATATATATATATATATATATATATATATATATATATATATATATATATATATATATATATATATATATATATATATATATATATATATATATATATATATATATATATATATATATATATATATATATATATATATATATATATACACACACACACACACACACACACACACACACACACACACACACACACACCTGAGTTTTACAAGTACATTAATTAAATTTTGTAGTTGACTGCAAGTGTATATTTGACGCTTCTCTTGGATGTAGTATCTAGGTGGCTTGATGCTCGACTGGCTCTGGAGGGCTGGACCTTGGCTTGGGACATGTCTGACCTTTGATGTGTAATTATGAGTCTTTCTGAGGTTGAAATGACCTGGTTTGCTTGGGCTCGATTCTCTTTAGAAGGGTTATTGTCTAGTCGAATGTCGAGGGGATTCTAATTGTCCTTTTTAGAGGACGACATGTTTCTGATGCTTATATGGCTTCGTGTCGTGATGAATCTCTTGGAAAATTATCCCCCTGATATGCTCTAGAGGGTGTTGACTGCCCACCTCTCTAACTCAAACCCCACATACTCTCTTAGGTTTTCTTTGGGAACAGAGTCGAGGTGTTAGAGACCTAACCGGTAAATGAAGAGTCAGGTGGCCTTTACTTACTCCACCGTCCAAATGCTCAGATGATCTTTGATCCCTTAAGTTATGTCACATTCGGAATCGGGCTTCGGTTGTTATGATGAGATACCCGACATTGGTTGCTCGAGGCATTTTGGACCTGCCACAAATCTTGGAGGCGATTCCTTCTTACCTTGCTCATGTCTGAGCTAAAATTATCTTTGGATTTGATGGGACCCAGATGGAGGTGTGCTTGGCGGGATCAGACCTATGACATCGCTCGGCCGAGGGCGAAACAACAATAGACCGCCTCGGATTTGCAAATCTGAATTTGGATCTTAAGGCGTCCACCTACCGGTTTTCCCCAACGCTTGACGATGATGCCACCAGTCGATCGGGATGTTCCTAGATGGGTTCCCGATCTGAGGCTTTCGTTGGTGTCGTTCCGAGGTGGCTCATAATTGACGTAACTACTTGTTCGGTGTCAGATCAGAATTTGGTGGATCCTAATGGCGCAGATCTAAGATCCCGACTCCTTAAAAATTTGATTTCTTCGACGAAGATCTCTTCGGAGCTCAAATATGAGGGTTAAACGTGAAATCTTGGAAATTGTAGAAATCAAAAGTTGATTTTCATGGACGACGCCACTGTTCCGTTGCGGAACCATAAATGATGTTAATTGTGGAAGCTACTGTGGATCGGGGCTTCCAGTGCACTACATTGAAATGAAATCGTGGAATGAAGGTTGCGATTAGGGTGCTTCTTGAACCAAAGGTTTCAAACTTGTTACGCTCCCGTTAACCGGTATATACGATCTCCGATACGATGAACCTAGGGGGTACCTGCATGGTTAGCATTTCAACGCCCAAGTCATTTAAGGATTCAAGATAGCTGGTAGTATTAGAGATTAGAGATTGTGTATCTTAGAACCATTTACGAAGGTATTTATAAAGGAGCAGGCAAGATAATGGGTCTCGTGCTATTGGGCATTTTGTTGGCGCGGAGTAGTGGGTCCCGGGTCTTTGTACGACACATAAAAGTTGGATTTATAAGAGATGTGAACCTTACCACCATTGCCTCAAAGTTTTAGATGGATATGTGACGTCAAGGTCTCTTGGGCCCTGAACGTTTAACCGAATGAAACTTTCGAGCCTCATTCCCCAAACTCCCCAAGAAGTGGTATCAAAGCTTAGTTGACTCAGTGAGGAAACATAAGTGGATCATAGTGTGGATCAAGACTAGTGATGTGGATGAATCACATTTGCGAGAGAGATTGTTAGATTTAATAAAGTGCTAAAATCCCACATCAACTAGAAAAGGATGAAATGTTGGATTTATAAAAGAGGTGACCCATACCCCATTATCTTAAGGTTTTGAATGGATATATGACTTCATGACTTCCTAGATCCTAAACATTTGACTCATTGACATTTTTGAAACTCACTCCCCAAACTCCCTAACAAAAAAAATCTTATATTTAACAAAGTTTTGTATTTTATTTAACATTTCAACCCACGTCTTCTTTTCTTTCATTCTCTAATTTTATTTTACTTTTGCATAATTTCTCTTCTATACCATATCATATTTCAAATTGATGGAAACCATATTTTGAAAGTGAGTTTTATTGAAACATAGGGGTGTGCATGAACTATAAATCAAACCAAACCAAACCACATATATGGTTTGGTTTGGATCTTAAAACCATTTATATAAAACCGGTTTACAAGTGGATTGGTTCGGTTTCAAACCGGTTTTTAAAAAAAATAACGGTTTTTTTAAAAACCAATTTTAAACCGGTTTCTCTCAAAACCAATTTTTTATTTTAAATAATCTAAACAATTCCGTAAAATCATTTTCCCATTTAATCATAAAAAACACAATTTCACACAAAATCGATTAATATCTCCACAATGACAAACCGACTTATCAAGACTATTATTCCTATGAGAAAATTAAAATCAAATCATTAACAAACCCATTAGAAGATACATGAATAATTAAACTTTACACTTCACAAACACAAACAGTACTATATGAATTTAAATATATAAGTGAATGAGAATATGATGAGACGCAGACACTAGCTCACATTCACATGCTATGTTTAAAGCAGAAAAAAGTCTTGCCAATTTAT